CACCGGTTGTGCTGCCATTGCGCGGGCCAACACATTAAACACATGCGGGCGAAGTCGCATCCGCTACCTGCCTCGCTTAAGTGCCTCGGACTGATTTCTGTGATTTTTCCTCTTCAAGGTGAGACCATCAGGAATTTCGGCAGGTGCTGCCCGATGTCAAAAAATGACAAGGGGTCCAGCTCTTTGAATTATCCAGCCAGCTGCCCCGTGCTCTAAAATTCGACGCGGCTGAAACCTTCCCCCCATGGGTGCGCGTTTTCCAGCCGAGCAGCCGGCTGCTTTTTTTAAAAAATAAAAGAGGGCAACTCTCCAACTTTTTTAAATAGTAGGAGGCTGCTCCAATGGAAGCTACACACTCAAGAGAGAAGGCGCCAGCCGCGTCGAATCATTACAAACGTTTGGGCGGCTGTCGCAGAGAGCTGCTCTCTTTAACAAAATGCGAAGGATTCAAATCCTTCGGAGTCAAATCCTTGAGGCAGATCCATCAAAAAAACCGCACCGCTGTCATTAATTGGACGCCGAAGCTAAGAAAAAAAACAAAGAGGCCCGAGCTCGAAAGTCCAAAGCACAAAAAACAAAAATGGCCGAAATAAACGAGCAGCCTAACACTGCTGCCCGATCTTATTCCTCGTGGAATCTAGTGGGCGTAGGCTAGTTATTTGGCTACAAGTGGCGAGCCATTTTAGTGCTATTCTTTATAGACAAGCGCACGACAATAATTATAGGCTTTCTATAAAAATTGCCTAAATGGCAAAAAAGTCTGATAGTGGAAACTTTTCATTCTTTTTTTTATATGAAATACATAGCAGAGACACTAGGGCCATTCTATCAGAATAATTCTTAGCCTTTCTATATGCCTGCAAGACTCACGCCGCTGATCCTCCACCTATGGAGCTTCAAAGTTTTTTCTTGGTTTTTAAAATTTCTAGGTGTGTTTTTGTTTGCAGATTTTACTATGGACCCGGGATCTGCAGCCATTTGCTTGAATTGACTAAGGCCACCGACTTCGGCCGCCCCAATACCCTTCCCCGCGCCACCC